CCCCCCCCCCCCCCCCCCCCCCCCCCCTCCCCCCTCCCCCTCCCCCTGTTTGTAAGGTCCTAGGCTCCCCTAGGCGTGTCTACGCTGTACGTGTGTAGCACCTGTTCTTGTAGATAGACTTGATGTAGCTCTTCAGTCCGCTACGACCTAATTCATTTGGCTCAAGACTATTGAAGCCCAATACTGCATCCGCAGCCATAGAAAAGGTGTGCATCGCTGCCGCTCGCACACCGTCGATCTCCGTGGCCTCTTGGTGTATTCGATCAGGTCCAATCAAGCTACTGCCACTTCTGGGGGCACTTACCCCTCAAAGTGGTAGCGGAGCTTGTGTCTCCTGCTTCGCAACGGTCGATTTTGCATTCGTGCCGAATCGTCCGATATTCCGGACAGGAGACAACAAAGTAGGTCACTTGTCTGAAACATAAAGACCATGGTCCAGATCTTTAACGTAGATACGGACGAAGAGCATGACGACAGCCTGTCGGAAGAGAGTGATCCAGAAGAAGCTTTCGCCGCATAAGGTTCGTGTCATCGCCACCAGCAATCAAGATCCTCAGGTTCGACATACCGGACATATATGGGGCACAGCCAGCACCAGGTGTCAAAATGACGCCAAAGATTCCCCCGTCCTTTGATGGACAGTCATCTTGGTTCGAGTTTGAAGATTTGATTGATGACTGGGTAAGCTTTACTACACAGAGAAGCTTGGTCCTTCGCTAAAGAATGCATTGACCGGAAACGCAGAGTATTACAAGAAAGTGTTCGACAATGAGCAGCTTCGTCATGAAAGAAATAGTATTACGTATTTTAAGGGGACGTTGCGTCCATACTTTGTCAAGGGAGCAAATCATGTTTTTCTCTGGCGTTTCACGCAGCCCTTTAGGACCTGGCGCGGAAACGGAGAATTTGTCAGTTGGATGGCTCGTTTTGAAGTTGCAAGTAACAAAGTCATGGAAGCCTTCATGGGCTTTTTAGATCTTTCGACTGTTCCACAGCCTGATGATTTCAACTTTACTGATATCCTCTCGCAACAGCAGTACATGCTACTTCAAGGAACTCAAGATCCCGCAGAAAGAAGAGAAACTGCAGAAAGGATCCGTTCTGAACACATTGATGCTTTGAAACAAGCACATCGTGTCTTCACTTATTTTCCTAGTTCAGTCGGACCTCAATGAACAGCAAAGAGAAAGGTTTGTAGCCAGCATGGCCTTGCGTCAGATCAACATGAACAACTACACATACTTAGGTGTCAAAGGCTTATTCCTTGATCCCTTTTGCGGAACCGCCACAGGAACTGCCGATCCTTCGATCCGCAGGCAGAGAAGATCCACTTTCCTTGTCCTCGATGAAGGAGACTTGGAGGAAGAATCCGGATACTGGGTGATGGATCAGGAAACAGGCGAAGAAGGATTTGTGAGTTTGTTCTCAGAATCCGAATTTTGGGTGTTAGCAGCCAAAGGAGGATATACCCGTAGAAGAATCCATGGAAGAAGGTTCAGAAAACCATCCAAAGGCGGCAAAGGTAAAGGCCGCGGAAAAGGAAGAAGACCCGGCTTTGTCAGCCGTAGAGGCAAAGGTGCAGGGGCGCACTATGCAGAGTACCCTGACAACTCAGGTTTCTATGGGAAAGGCAAGAAAGGAGTGGAAAGAAAGGTTTCAAAGGAAAAGATGCATTCGAAGGCCAAGGAAAAAGCAAGCAACAGAATTCACCAGCTCAGCCGAATCCTAGTGCCGAAGAAACCTGGAGTGCACATGAAGCAAATTGGTCATGGCTCTCGTATGGATACCACACAGACCAGTACTATCCAGAAGAAGTCTAGCAGGCAAATGAAGCCACTTGGCACCAATGGACATACTTTGCGGACGGACAGACGGACAAAGGCAAAATGAAAGGTTGAGCAAGAAAATATAAAGTAAGTTGGTATAATATGGGAAGTTCATCAGCAAAACCTAGCGAGACAGACTACATTGAGCAAATCAAGAGCATCAATGAAAACGAGCTGGATTTGAACAAGATTGACACCCTTCAGATGAAGGCAATCAAACAACTGGTAAAGAAAATTGAAGAGACTGAAAAAAGACAGTCTGATAGGATTATGTATAAACTACCCGCGATAAACATTTGCACCCCTTCGTTTATATAAGTTACACCACCGTAGACCCCAAACACTTTGTTTTTTAAATCAAAACTAGAGCTTGCGACGTCCAGAGCTGGGAGACAAAGGATTGCAAGGCAGAGGCGGCCACAACAGCCCAGAGCTGGGAGACAAATGTAAATGGATTGCAAGGCAGAGACGGACACAGCAGTACAGAGCGGGCGGACGCATCTTAAGAAAGAATTAATTGAGGAGCCCTAACAGTAAACCTTTTGGGGAATTATTCTTCAAGCCCGAACATGATGCTGGTCATGCTGCTCAATCAGCGGGGACCACGTGAGGACAAGAAATAGAAGCGTGAGGAGCGAAGGATGTGACATGAAATTGATTTTTGGTGACTGACGTATGCCCTCCGTCCCAACTGAACAGAAAGATCGCTGCCACGCCGCCGAAATCCAATCCGGTCATTCATCCAACGCTTGCCCGAAAAGGAAAACAGAGCTGAGAGAGTTACACTGTGGCAGGAATGCAATCCCGGAGACAGTCACGCACCCCTTTCAAAGGAGCAAAAACCTTTCACAGGCGAACCTGTTCCAGCGGACAGGGCACAAAACAGCGCAGGCACCAAACCTGAAAGACAAAAAGGAAGAAATCACATGGGAGACAAATTAATAGAAATGCTACATGGCCAGCGGAAAAGGGCAGCAGCACCAGTGACAGACCCGGGAAACAAATGAATAGAAATGCTACATGGCCAGCGGAAAAGGGCGGACACCAGCAGTGACAGACCTGGAAAACAAATGAATAGAAAGGGCGGACACCAACAGCCACAGACCTGGGACACTAATGACTAGAAATGCTGCATGCTCTTGCCTCTTCTGATCTTCCGGGCTTTGCGCATCAAAACCTTTCGGGTCTGAGGGTCCAGATCGACTCCTGTGCGGGCGAAGATGTCCTTCAGCGGCTCTTCCAGGCATGGCCTGATCTTCTCTTTCTCCTTCTTCTTGACCTTCTTCTTCGACGTCTTCCTCTCCTTTTCTCCCTCCGCTGCGGGAGCGTTTGCGCCTTCTGGGGAGTAATCCTCGGCGTTCACGCCCTCGACGACACGCTTCATCTCGGTCCTCAACTTGGCCAGCTGATCCGGTTGGTCAAGTTCGTCCATCATGCCAAGGCCTCGACCCTTCACCTCCTCCAGGTTGCTCCACCAGCCCTCTGGCGGACCCTCTTGGCACATCAGGCGATCTCCATGCACTAGGTCGTTGTTCCAGACCAGGTTCTCGCAGGGCTGACCGCAAAGATGAACCTCCATGTCTCTGCATCGACCGCCGACTTGCGTGCCTGTCACACGAATCCGCAGCTTTCGATCTCCGCCGCGGAAGTTCAGGCCTGACACCACGCCTGCAATCAAACATGGGGCTTCCCAATAACGGCCTTCCACCACGACCTTGTCCAGGTTCCCAATCTCCTCCATTGTAAGTTCCGGGATGGACCTCCACATCCCACCTGCCTCTTCGACTTCTTTCTCTTCCTCTCTCAAAGCAGGCCTCCTCATGACTCCCTCGGAATCTCCACGCCGACGAACCGGGGGCCGCACCCGAGCCCCTGGCCTCCTGAGCACTTTGGGTGCCATCACCTCCTTGCCAAAGCCTGTAGTTGAGGTTCTTCTCACGCTTTGTCCTGCCTTTTGATTCGGTAGGTTGACGCCCTCGATATCCACCTGGCCAATAGCGGTAACCTTGAGACCCCTGGGACTTGGGGAAGGCCTGGTACTCGACCCAACCACTGTTGTCTCGATGCCCGGGGGGGGGATGGTCTGGCTCTTGGGGTTTCTTTCGGGGCAGGACTCTGTCTCTCTCCTTCCTCTCTCCCTCGTTCCTGTCGCGGGAGGATGCACGGGCACTTGGTGGCGGAGCGGCTCGCCTGGCGACTGGGTCGAAATGGAATGGCCTTGGCGGGGTCCTGGGAATGGAAGGACGGGGGCGCTCACCTTTCGCCTGCGAAGCACGGGTCTGGTCTGTAGATGCTCTGCTTGTATCTTGGTGTTCAGGAACTCGGTCAGTCGACCTAGGTCTCTTGGAGTCTCTCTCAACCTCGACGTGGCTACGGGAGCGTCTCCGTCTCCCACGGGTGGTGCTCCTCTCTCTCCTGGCTGACTTTCTTCCTGATGACCTGCGGCGACGACGATGGGACCGAGAGCGCCTCCTCTTGCTCTCCTCTGGGCTCTTCGCGGTAGGCTCTACGGGAGATTCTGCTTCTTCTCCCTCTCGCTGACCACTGGTGGCTGACACTTCCTCCTCAGGCTTTTCGCTGGCGGCTGACTCCTCTTTCTCCTCCTCACTCTTGACACCCTCCTCTTTGGCGGAGACCTTTGTGACCTTGGCTCCGGAGGGTGTGGCACAACCCTTCGAAGCTTTCTCTGTCTTGAAAGCGGGAGTGGAATAGGTCGCACGGCCCACTCCCTCCTTGGAATTGGACTCGGCAGTGTCGAGGAGCTCGATGTAGACCTCCCTCAACCGTCTCACGCAAGTTCGTGAGAAACTGGCGCCGAGCTTCTCGTTGTACACCAGCAAGATCAACCTTTGTGAAGCGAGGCAGAGCTGGCACCTGCACGAATGCCAGTCGTGGATCTCGCCCATTGGCTGCTCAGCTGAAGCCGAGAATCTGCGGAACACGAATGCGGGTTTCGTCTTTAAATACGAAAACGTCATATTCAGAGAAAATGGGCTTTTTCATAATTTAGCAATTGAGAAACTGAATAAAGAAGAATATTAATAATATATATAATGAACAAACAGCGGTTGGACAAGAGGAAAAACAAATAATGGTCATAATCAAAAACAACCCCTTTCCAAACAGAAAAACTTTTATGGATATACAGTTAGAGACAGTTAAAGAGGACAAATCAACAGGTCTCGTAGTCTTAGGAACGTTATGACTATAGGACAGTTAAGAAGATTTATGAAAATATTATGGATGAAGATATAGTCAAAGAATGTGGTAGAGAACTATCTAAAATTGATGGTATGCGGGATATGGTGAGATGTCGTAACTTGTTGGATGAAATCATACGCTACAACTACAACAAAGGGAACAACAAGGAACAATACGATAGAATGATAATATTGCCGTTAGCGAGGTTGGTTGAACACTATTGGGATGGAATAGGTCAATGGACAGCGTAAAACTACAACATAACTACAACCCATAAACACTTACAACCTATAACTATAGCATAATTACAACCTATAAACCCCAACCCCGAGAAAAAACATAACAGCAACCCAAGAGAACAAAACCCAACATGAGAAAACGAAGAAACCAAACAAAGGAAAACCGCCCCAGAAAATAATGAACAAGGATAGATGAAAAGTTTTGACCCAACATGTCTTACAATCCCCAGCACAAAAAACATCAAAGGCGAGGTTCATATGTTGGACTTCAACATAAAATCCTATAAGGCAACACTGAACAAAAATCGTCCTAGCATCCCCACTTTACCATTTTTTGGGTGGTCCTAGGGCCAGCCTAGGCCATGGGATAGGGGGGTCCTAGGTCTAGGATAGTCCTAGGGCTAGCCCAGGCCCTACCCTAGCGCTAGGATCTAGCCATGATAGGGTCTAGGCTAGCCCTAGTACCCCCCCTATCCTAGGGCCTAGGCTAGCCCTAGGACCCCCCCTATCCTAGGGCCTAGGCTAGCCCTAGTACCCCCCCTATCCTAGGGCCTAGGCTAGCCCCTATCCTAGGGCCTAGGCTAGCCCTAGGACCCCCCCTATCCTAGGGCCTATGGTAACGTAGCCTAGCCGCCTTGACTCCCTGCCTAGGGGGGTAGGCTAGGTGAAGGGAAGCCCTATCATGGGACTTCTGTGTGAAAAACCGATACAACCCACAAACCCGAATGAATGCACGTATGTACTAGTAACTAGTATGCTGTATGTTTGACACTCTCGCGTGGCATCCTCCAAAGATAGACAATCTGGGGTGACACTCTTCTATGATCTCTTATAGGACCATTACAGGATGGTGTTGTGGGACACCCTTCTAGGACACTCTTTGCATCACACAGCACACACTTGTAACAGTCTTGTGGGACACTCTTGAAGGGCACTCTCTTGCACGACACTCTCTTGTGGGACACTCTTGTTACAGTAGGCACTCTTGTAACACACTCTTGTGGGCACTCCTGTAGCGCACTCTTGTAACACACTCTTGTGGCAAAGTCTTCTGGGACACTCTTGCAGGGCACTCTTGTGGGACACTCTTGTGGAGCACTCTTGTGTGACACTCTTGTGGGGCACTCTTGTAGGGACAGTCTTGTAGCACACTCTTGTAGGACTTGCGGGGCACTGGGACATTCTTGCAGGGGGCAGTTTTGTGGTTTTGAAGTCCCGTAGCATCTTGCTTGATTTTTTGCATTTCTTTCGCTCTTTGCAAATCGCAACTACTCCGTGCAGCCCCAAGCACTGCCCGCAACTGCCGATCCTGAAGGAAGGAGGCGTAATCAAAGTCGCTCTTTCCCCAAAGGCAACATCATTTTGTCGGCGCGCCGACAACAACGACACTCCAGCCACCAAACCCCTCGAGAGACCCCAGATTATAAACGAGAACCCTGAGCTACGCATTTAGGAAAAAAAGGGGTCACACAAAACACATATCACAAGAAACAACATAACCTCACAAAATCACAGCAAAAACTACCAAGAAAGAAAACCAAAAACATGAGCAACACAGATATGCAGGAAAAGAGCACAAGAAACCACGCATCACAAGAACAAGAGAAAGGACATGTGTATATGTATCACCTGTTCCAAAACGACCTAATCTCCCGCGTTCCAGAACGATTTCTGCAATCAAAAACGACCTGGGTATCTTTCACACGTGTCACAGGCGGCAATAACCAGTGGGGTGTTTTCACTACGCTTCTGGCGGCTAGAATCGTGCACAATCAAGGACTTCTTTTGGTATTGCGATGTATTGCGCGTTGCGCTATTCAAGCGCAAGAGTCACTTCTGGCAGAAATGCTCAGAAGCAGAAAACCACATGCCGTGTCCAGCAAAGCTTGGCGACTAGCCGCATCTTGTGGCCGGCTGGCTCTTGGTTCACCTTACAAGTCAGTCCTTCGGTCAGGCTTAGCTTCTTTGGCTTCTTTGGCCTTGGCATGGAAAGAGCGAAACCATGTGAAAGACACATAATCACAACCCTATATACTAAGCACCTGAACAACCAACAGTAACTCTCTATGTACATCCTCTCAGGCGAGACAAGAATCTGGATCACTTGCAAACGGTGATTTATGATTAATATACTGATATACGAGGCCGTGAATGTGCTCCAGAAGTTCGTCTACCCTTCATGGTCTGTGCTTCCCAGTGTCCTCCCTTGCTAGGGCTTCTTGTCTCTTCGTCTCAAGCAGTCTTTGCTGCCTCGCCTTTGCCTGCACAGCACAGCCAACAACAGCCACAACTGTCTCCAATCAGGAGCTGATGTTAGGTAGCCTCGACTCTACTTCAATGATGTGCTTAAATTATGCATGAATGACCGTGCACTGCAAGCTGCAAAAGGCGCAAGGCCCCAATCCCCCAGCCCATGTTTCCTGATTTCCCTGATCTTCCATATCATTATCAATGGGCAGGTTTTAAGCTTTGCATGCTCTGACTCCATTGGCGGCCTCACGTCGGTCAGAATGAGGATCGCCGAACGGTGCAAAGTCAAACCTTTCCTGAAGTTGAGGGGGCAGGGCGGCAGGGCAAAACACAGGATCTGACAGAGCTGGCAGTGCGGCAAAGGCTCTGGAAAGTACTTTTTCTCTATCTCCTCTTTGTGAGTTTCCCCCTCTGCTCCATCATGCTGAACTTTTCTCGGGAAGTCTGCACCTCGAAGCAAGCACAAGGACCATCGACAGTTTCCACTGAGGCCATTCGTCCTTCGTCCTTCGTCCTCCCACACAAACAAACGAGGGCTCTGATTGTGACAAGGCACCTTCATCAAAGGCCCGCCTCTTTTCTGGATCCAGCAGAACCTGATGGGAATCGGCAACTCGCTGAAAAGCCTGAGCAGAGCCTCCAGGGCACGATGAGGAATCTTCCTAAGCCTCTGAAGTTCTTGACATTTGATGGACAACGACCATGGCTCCCAACCTCCAAGCTTGTCTGGATGATACTGTAGACTACGTTTTTTGTATGCTCGCTTCAGCTCATCACCGTGCTCATCAGGAAAATCACACCGGATGCCCAGCACCAAATAGTGGTTCGGTTGGCACCATTCAGGCAGCTCACCTGCCAAAATGAATCATTCTACACCGCTCTTGTATATGCAAGGTCAGTTCAAAGTGAGCACTTGCCGCCAAGCACCTCCTCGCAGCAACGTGCAAGGCTGCACATCTACAGCGTTCGAGACCTCTGCTGCCAACTGCGCTGCTGCATCAGTAAGCTTGGGTCCATGACCAGATTCTGCCTCAGCTCCACGACTCCCAAAGGGCTACCAGGGCTACAAATAGCGTAGCGATGGCCTCCAACCAAACAGCTCCTAGTAGCTTCTTGTTCCTAGTAGCGAGGCCAGGAGCCCCTAGGGCCCCTAGTAGCGTCCTTGCTCCTAGTAGCGGCGAGGCCAGGAGTCCCTAGTAGCTTCTTGTTCCTAGAAGCTAATCTCATGACTCAAACTACAGCTGGCCTGCTGTCGCTCAGCACATTTTGCAGCACACGTGAAGGGCTCATGCTCCTCGGAGAACGGAAGTAAAAGTTCACTCAGCATATGAGGCTCGGCGCAAATGATCAGGTACCAACACAGTCACTTTCAGCTGCGGTAGCTGGCGCTGTGCCAGATTTGCCGCGGGCACCGGAGGTTGCACCTGAATTACGGCTGCCCTGAATTGTGCATGACTGCCTGTCCACTTCAGCCGAGGAGCATTGGCAAAATCCAGAATTGCCTTTCGCCTTGGCATCTCTCCAGTTAGTATATGCTATGCTCAAGAAAAGCGAATGTGAGAAACAAACTAGGCCAAAACATTGGTGCCTCGCACAACGCTAGGAGCGATCGGACGCTACGAACGGGGCTCCTGGCCGTACTACTAGGAACAAGAAGCTACTAGGGGCTCCTGGCATCGCTACTGGGAGCAAGGACGCTACTTAGGCTACCAAGTTGCTATGACTGCGTTGCAAGGCTTATCAGCTGAAGGCTCCAAAAGCCCTGTCGGAGAGCAACCACCAGTTTGACGCCATGCTATGCAGCCCGGAGTTCGGCCCTCCAGTCGAAATTTCGAAAGACAAAGGAACAAAAGCTTGATGAATGCTTACGAATGCTTCATGTGAATTCACTGAGTTCTGTTCTGTTCGGCACATTCAGTCCATGGTTGACACGACTGCCATCACATATACTGTGTATATATAGATTCATTATGTGCATGCATACATAGGCTGAATCCTAAAAGATCCTAAAAGCATCCCCAAACCCTCAAACACTACTATAAACAGCAAGGCTCCTGGAGTACTTCTGGCTTCTCGGTCAGAAACTCTGTCTCTTGTCGGCGCTTGTGCCCATGCACGCGAACCAGCCAGTCACCCACAAAGGGCCGTTTGCCTATCCACAAAACCGTCGGAGATGAGTGTCATCATGTCAAACATACCGTCAGCAGTGCTAGCAAAGGCTGGCACATGTTTCACCGCAACTGGAGTGCTCATTGAAGTTGCACCTTTTCAATGGGTGCGGTCTTACTGTGAATGTTGTTTGTTTGCGTTGCAGTTGCATTTGTTTTTTTTGCGGTCGTGTTTTCTCTACAGTTCCTCCAGCGGAAGTGGACAGCTAGCTCAGGACATCTAGGGCCTGTGTCTGCAAAACAATGCCAACCAACTGGACCACAAGGCATAAACTGCTACTCCAGAATCCCAGGTCGTGTCCCGAGTAGAACAAAAATAGTATATAGGGTGAACATACATGAGACAAGTGCATCATAATTGAGAAGGGAGTAAAGAATGAAAGAGTTTTGTTCAGAAGGTGCACTTGGGTTCACTTGGGTTGCCCCTTGAGGTGAAACAAACACAACACTCGGCAAAGCAGAAAACACACAACAACATTAGTCGCACAGAATACCAAACATGGAAGAATAAAGCAGCACAAACTCAAGGCCTGAAAAGCAACTAACACAAAGCGCAACAAAGGCCATAGAAAGCAAACGCAATTAAAACAGGGAAACAATATGCCACAAGAAGACCAGAACTAGGAAAGTAAATAAAAGCAGGAGGAACCACAGAAGCAATGAACAGCAAAACAAGCACAAGAAAGCATGAAAAGCAAGAAAAGCAGGAGCAACCACAGAGAAGCAAGGAAAAGCAAGGAAAAGCAAAACAAGCACAAACAAGTATAAACAGAAGAAATCATAGAGAAGCAATGAATGAAGAGCAGCAAAAGCAACAAAAAGCAGGTCCAAACAAATCCCTAAACGCAACACAAAAAGTTCCCACCAACATAGCCATCCATTACCTTGGGATCTGTTTTTGAAGCGTCCAAAGTGGGACGAGCGTCGATCCACGCGCAGCAGCGTCTCGAATGAGTGGATCGCTCGCCTGAGGTTCGGCAAACAGAGGAGAGTTAAACCATGTCAAGCCCTTGTTACGAGTAGCGATGCCCTTGTTACTAGTAGCCCAAACTTTTGGAGCTTGTGTGAAACGGTGTCGGTGTGACGTGGAGGGAAGGCTTCAACATTCCCAATCAGGCCCGCCAACCCAGTCCTCGCAGAGTTCAAGAGTGATGAAATGTCAAAGCTGTCCGAGTTGCTCGTAAAGACCCTGGTCCACTTGTAGCTTGCCCAGCTCCTCGATCGCTGCGGCATAGCGGGGGTACAGCACAAGCGAAGCATCCACAGCCTCAAAGAACAGCAATGCTGATTCGGCAACGGCCAACGGAATCACATTGATCTAGAGTCGAGGTTGTTGCCAAAAGGCAACGACGTTGTGTCAAACACGATATATACATAATTATATAATTATATGTATATGTGCATAGTAACTAATAACATATATATGTATATATGCATAGTAATATATAACTAATATGTTTAGTGGCCCCTCTTGGGGCATACATTGAAGATCATTGAAGCCATATCACACACAGGCAACGATTAAACGATGGCTTGGGCGTTTGCATGCTGAGATGTCTCGAGGAGAACCAAACCCATGACGTTACATCAACAACCTTGCCCAAGCATCAAGGGAAGTCAAAGCAGCAAGCCCAGTGGTTCGAGACCCCGGTCTTGAGGCAACCGTTTGGGCCGTATGAAATACTTGCTGAGCCACGTCATTCGCAAGCTGGAATTCCCGACGTCTACGGTAGCAGATTGCCCGGCGCAACTGAAGCATGGCCACAGACCAGTGGTCGCTTTTCAGCTTGGGACCTTGCAGTTCAGCCTGGGGTGGGCGTCTTTGTCAATAGGCAAAGTATCCGTGCAGGTAAGAAAAACTAATCCGAATCCAAACCCGCCGGCTTGTAGCTTATCACTGATCACTGAGAATTTCAATCTGTAGTTTATTGACACCGCAACAGGACGGCCTCGGCATTCTCTAAGCTTGCAGATCCTGCATGTCTTCCCCATGTCAGAGTCCATGGTGTTAGTGTTGGATGCGCTTGTTTTTGGTTTGCAATCGATTTTGCTTGGTCATGGCTGAAGCTACCACTCCTTCAAGGCACGTATCTGTACCATCTTCTTCTCCCGGCAAAGCTGCTTTGGGTGCTTGGAACCCTTCCTTGGAATGAGGTCGGTGATGGCTCTACACATCTCTGCACTCTTGTCTTGCCATCCTCACACATCGTCACCACGCTACTGCATTGCATGCAAAACACGGGGGGAGATGTTGCTGTGCCTTTGCCGCCAACAGGTAGTTTTGGCAACTTCTGCCCGTCAATCGCAGCTTGGACCTTGAATCACATGTTCCATGGAAAAGCTGCACGCATCCAATGGTTTCATGCTTGGCAATTGAAAGCAAGATCGTCTGCTCCCCACTGGTGCCTCATGCTTGTAGAATGTAAAATATCGTTTCAGCCGTCTGAGCATATCTTCTTCCTCAGATTCTCAAGATCTAGCAGTGCCATTGATGCGGATTTGGACCCATAATATCCATAATTATATATCTATCTATTGTCATTCTTGAGAGCCACTGCAGTCATTAACTAGAGCATTGAGAGCACTCGAGGACCGGCAAGAATATGACAATATACAACTCTACAACTCCCTGCCGCCACGAAGCCCCTACACCAACAAGTTGCCAAGGCAACTCCTCTTCGTCGTCCTGTGCAGGGGAAGCAGGACTGGTCCTGTGGCTTGGCCAAGGCCAAGGGTTCAGGTCTACAGGCCATCTGTCTTGCCATTCAATGGCCTCCATGGCATGAGCAACGGCACTGCCAGCCTCACGAGTGCCACTGTGCCAGCAAGTGCCACCCACAAAGCCATCTCTAGATACTAGTAGCGATGCCCTTTGCTACTAGTAGCTTCTTGTCCGTAGTAAGGCCAGGAGCTACTAGTAGTGTCCTTGTTCCATGTGACATTAGACCATTGGACCAAAGAGAACAAATCAGAAAAGCACGGCCTTCGGATCAGGCTGCGCACTCTTTGTCCGGTGCACATGGCTCCAACGATGCCCTGATCCAGGAATTAGTTGATCTCCATCATGCCTGAAGCGATCAGCCTGAACAGGACAAAAGTTTGGCATGTCGTAAGCAGTGCAAATAACAGGTGCTGATGCGTTCAAATTACTTAAGCTGACCCTTGGATGCAGTTGCAAAACACCTTAACCATACAAATGCACTAGGGTGAACAGTTGCCCACTCCAAATGAACGGCTGCATTGTCTTTTGAGGTTCCATGTGCAAATCAAGCTGAGATCAACCAATATCTGCTTGGGCACCCTGTCCGGGTCTATCAGCACCTCAGGTGATCTCAAAAACAAAATGCGTTGCCGCTCAACTTCTGCACACCACTCGACGGTCGTGCCAGGCACCCATTCGGTCTGTCGGCCACTGCTGCGTTTCACATCTTCAGGAGCACCAACCAAACACAAGCGCCAACCAGTGTAGTCATGTCCTCAGCAACGAGCTGCGGATTCCGGTTTCATCGCAAACGGCAGATGCGATTGCGCAGGCTGCAGGCTGCAGCTGCAAGCTTGACCAGAAAACGCTTGAACATGCTAGAACCCTGCTCCGAGGTCAGCTCGGTAGGAAAAGGTAAAAGTGTGACTGAAACCATTTGGAACTCGATGCTCCCGTGAATAGAGGCCGTTCATGTCCCCTCAGGAGCCATTTGCTCAGTGATTTGCAGCGTGGTGAAGTAGCACACTGATCTGTGCTGAAACATGCTCAGTCAGTAAGGCTTTGACTGATGCTCGAACCACCCAGGAAAAAGCCCACGGGAGGGTCTGTGACGCGGGCAAACCTTGGGACTCATCGGGTCAACCATGACCCTCTTCATTAAGAGCTCTCTTCCACGAGAACACATGGTAGACGCGGCAAAAAAAAGCATGACGCAAACGCATATCATTTAAGGCATCCGGAAGCATTTGTAAATACTTGCCAGGCTACCCACCAAAACGGCGGCCACCGCCACCGCCCTGGTATGAGCCGACAGCTCCTGGTCCGACCAGGCTATTGGCGAAAGCTCCAGTGAGCTGCAGCAGCACTAGCCTGCCACATCGGACGTCGATTTGCAACAGGGCTGCCGGTCCAACATGTCCAAAGTATTGGTTTGCCTGATTTGTCTTGAGAAACTAGATTGCTTCACGGTATGCACGAGTTCGCATGCTCTCGCATATTGAGTCGCAGTGAAATTGAGAGACTGTCTTCCTGCAAGTGCAAAAGTCAAAACTTTCATGGGGCCCCCTCTTCACAGTACCCCAATGAAGATAACAAATGTAATCACATACAAGTACGGATCTGGTGGGGGATTTCAGCTGCCTCCATGGTTGAGGTTGAAGCAAAGCTCTGACCATGGTGCTTGGGAAGGCTGCAAGTAACTCGATGTCAATGTTGTTGGTGTGTTTATTCTTGTTTCATGTTGGTGCGGTGTATCCCAAACTCAATGCCATCCTTGCAGATTGAACCACTTGACCCCTTGCAACCAATTCTGAATCTCTGGCGCTACCTCTTGTCCACCCGAGGATTGTCAAATTTCACTCCTTAGTTCAAGTTCTTCTCTGCGTTTGAGGCAGAGCTGCACATTGGGTACATGCTCCAAGTCAGGACACCAAGGCAGTCGAGACATCACGGGTACAGCTGCGAAGGGAACTGTCAACGAGGTCTTCAGTGACAGTGAGGGGCGATCATTTTGGGCATACAAGGCTCGGATCAGCCTGAGAATCGCTCACCTATCACATTGGGACAGCGCCAGCTGGCCTTCAGCGACCTTGACCTCACAAATCCATCTGCACAACTTGTCAACAGGAAACATGCCGAGTCGCCATGCTCTGAATCAAATTGCCAGTGGCCAAACAGCAAGCGCTCTCACTCAGCAAGCAAACTTTTGGCACAGCAATCTGCAGCTACAGGTGTCTCTCTGTATGCTGCCATCATGCAAAGCTAAGGAGGGAGAAGAGAGGCAAACTCCCAGAAGTTTCGCTGAGACAGTCTGCCCGCCAAAAAGCACTTTGGTCATGAACGAAAGTGGCGGCTCAGGCAAAACAAGCAGCTGCTTTGCAGCCAGGGAAATTGGATCATTTCATCCCCTTCGCCTTAGTTGCGCAGTGCACAGTACTGTCGATAGTGTTTTTAGTGGATGCCGACCAGCTACAGTTATCACGCATTATCAAGGCAAATGTTTGATTCTGGTACTGGCCCGATTATGCCGTCTGACACGCGTCACAGTTGGCTGAAAAGCTTTACAAAAAAATAAAGCAATACTTTTTAAGAAAAAACATACTGTAAGATTTTAGAGATAGTAGCTGGTACTGGCCCTAGGCTTAATCATGCCACAGATGCCCGAAGCATGGCCGTAAATAATCCATCTGCTTTCCGCAATTTGTCCACAGTGCCATTCTCAACAACTTTTCCTGGGAGTGGAAGACTGGAATCAGAAACAGCCAGGAATGGAAACAAAAGGTTTATATATAATACACAATTGCATATAATACATATAATTACTGCATAATACTCTTATTGTAATCGGTTCAGTCGAAGCCGCCTTCGTCAAACACAACAATCTGATCAAAGCTCATGATGGTTTCCTAAGCAAAGCATGCAAGGCTTCAGCACCCTCCTGAACTCCGTATTCTCTTTCTGGCAACTTCTGCCTAAAAGTTTGGACAAGAACATGCTGACGTCAAGTGATTGCAACTGTTACCAACAAGCTGCTAGCCGGTGCGCCACTGCAATAGTTGTTGTCCTTGAGCACCGGTGGAAGACTCGTAAAAGGTTGGGAACGCTCAAGCACCTTGTCTAGTCTAATTTCTAGGCCTCACCCATATATCGCGGTATTTTGCAGTCCTCGGGAAATCCTTGAGGATGGTTTTCTGCACGGCTTCCTGTGTGAGTGGATCCAAGGCTGAGGTGCACTCGTCTAAGAGAAGTACTGGAGGCTGGCGAACCACCATGCCTTGGTAGCAGACAAAATGACAAAACCGTCAAGGACGGTGCCCATGAAGCGGCATACTCATAGTTGAACACAAGACAGGAGTGAGGTTCATCCTCCATACATCCATGCGCTTCACTATGCAGAACCCCAACGGTTGGGTCGACGATCCAACAAAGCGCAGGTCAATGCAACCTTTGAAACAAAGTCGTACCGGAAGCATACATGGCAATTAGATATGTGGCCCCATCGATTGATCACAATCAGTTGATCTTGGCACGTACAAGTGACTATAACATGCGCCTTTGGTCCACAATTAGGATTTCACAGCAGCAAAACAGCTCAAAGCCTGGAGTGCTGTCCAATCCCAGGCACGCGCAAGGCTCAGCAATTGTTTCTGCCCAAAGCTGATGTTGCTCCCATCACGCTCAATATGGGTGTCAATGCCCTCCTCACTGTCTGTCAAGCTCTGAGGCTTTGAGCTGCTTGAATGGGCAGGTATGGAAAATAAAAGGTATCTCACAACTGAAGAGAATGGCAAAGGGCATATGATGATCTGTTGGTGTATGATCATATGGCTGGAACTGACAACGGTCCAAAGAGGGAAACGAGTTGCATACAGTCCAAGCATCTGGCAACGTGCGGATGTATGGCATCAACTGCACGCTCTGCACAGCCTCCCAGAGTCGTGCATCTGGGAACTCATCAAATGGATCAATGTTGAAGCGGATAGTGCCCTCAAATACAGTCGGGTCCTGCAGCATCAGAACAGAAAGTGATGCTCCTCTTTGTCAACACTATAGGAATGTGACAATCAAGGCAATCGGCAGGCTGTTCAGGGCTCCAAACAATAAGTCACTATTCATGCAGAGTTGAAAGTTGAAAGTTCAGGTTGCATGACAAACTTGGTTCACTTATGCTCACAAGGATTCTCTCCTGTGGCACCAAGCCAACCATGCTACGCACTGCATTCAACCCAAGCTTTGATGTGTCGTGGCCTGGCAACAAAAACAGTTCCAAAGCATCCTTGCGTGGACGCCGATGAACCTCCGGCGAATCCGGAATCGGTGTCTGCGTCGTAGTGACAAAATAAAACCGCCTCCAATCAGGAGCTTTCCTCTCCTGGGCTCTAGGAAGCGCAAAAGGCACAGCCTCAGGCAGGACAAATGATACAAATACAATTCGGCAGTGCACGTGCTTGCCAAACCAATCTGGCTTTGGCGAACTCTTGCAAATTCCAGCACGGCCAGGCTGCAGAGTTGTGGATTTCCCGCAGCCCGTCTTGCCAACAAATGCACACTTGGTACCTCAATTTGGCATCAAATCACCACAAAGCAACCCCGAAAAGCAAAGTTAGGCCAATGGAAACTGATTTGAAGGATAAGGAAATAAGTCGATGAACATGCCAAGGACGTCGTCATGATGTTGATCATGCCGACGAGCGGCGTGGCACAATACTCAAGCTGACCCCGTGCAGCACACTCTTCGCAGTGCCATATCCTGCCATCACTAGTAGGTTGGAGGCCATCGCTAGTAGGTTTAAATTCTCCGAGTGAACGCATCACCTGGAAGTGGACAGCACCCCCTGTCGAGGAAAGCTTCCAAGGGGCCATTGTCCAATTCCTTGTTAGTGAGTCAGAGTGTGCCCTCTTGATTTCTTCTATATATATATATATACATATAACACTATACATATATGCATAATCTTGTTTGATCTTGTTTATTTCGCTAGGTGTTGCATCTGCCTGTTGAAGGTCTATGCGTCTTCTTAGTTTTGCCATTCATCCTGCTGTGAGGTCTTCGATCTCCACAGAGAGGCCCTCTTTGAAATCACTGTTCCAGAAGTCCACCCAGATCACCTGGGTGTCTCTTCAGATCTTTTTAGTCCAACTGACGCTGAAAGTGACCTGACTGGTGACATCTGGTTACCACTAGTCAAGTTTGACCTTCACTACTAGGTTGGAGGTCATCGCTACTAGGTCGGAGGCCTTCGCTACTAGGTTGGAGGCCGTCGCTACTAGGTTGGAGGCCTGTCTGTGCAGTTTGTCTCGGAACTCTCCCCTGTCTCTCGGAGTCGAAGCAACTGCCGGTGGCGTGCACAGCTCTCGCGCCATTTGTTCTGCTGAGGTCGACCTTGAAGATTTGGTGGTTTCGTGTGACCTACTGACTGTGACGGGTCTGTTAACCACCTTCACTGCTAAGTTGAAGCCCTCAAGCCACACCATTACTACTGTAGGTATTTGCGTACATATATATATATAGATATACTGTAAATAAAAATATATATATATATTATTATATATTACTATAAATTGCCTTTCAAAAAAGTTGGCTTACTCTGTTTGGACTCATTTCCGAGGCCTGGACAAGCTGTTGACTGCCACAATCTGAAATGTTCCCTCCAAGCCTTGCAACGCCTGATGCGGCTGATGCGAGCAGGTTCTGAGGGCCACTGACAACTCCCAACTCTCTTCGCACGTTGCCTTGCAGCCAGGCGCCAAGTCCTGTGCCAAGAAAGCACGCAAGAACACGCAAGCAAAAACATCATTGAGGCAGATGGCTCCTCTGGTGTGCAACCATCCAAGAACTCTAAGTGGCGGCCATCAGCACCGAGCCGCAGCAGGGGCTTCCCACCTACCAGGGAAAGTAAGGCTGACCAACAAATACATGCTAGGCAAAATCTGATTCAAAATGACTCACATACATTTCCGAAAGTGCCTCTGACACAAATCCGCAGGGATGCAGAGTCCGTGCTCCTGAGAGATTTATGTGCTGCAGAATGATGCTGAATGCTTGGGGGTAGAAAGAGGAACACGAAGGAAGAGTACGAAGCCATTCTGTGATTGCCCTGCAATATCTGCAACCAAGCAGCTCACCAGCTATCTTACCCTGCAGGAAGTGGAAAGTGGAAGCAATTACTCTTGAATCAAAACATCCCGATTCCTCAAGCCATGAATGCTGCTTCACTGCATTGGAGGGCACAACCAAGCGGACCAGGCACAATCGCAATGCCTTTTTTTGCTGAGCAAGGCAATTTGGTGACATCGAGTAATGTCGTTCTACTTTGCTCCAGAGAGGATGGCTTTGGCATGGCCCAGGGCTTCAATCTCATCGGTGAGTGCCTTCTGCCGAACTTCAAAGTTCTTCATGAAGAAATCGCACTCCTGACGTTGTTTTTTGCAACGGTTTCAAGGCAGTGTATATGTTTTAGAGTCCTGACCCATCAAGTGTGTATACGCATGCAGTTACAAAACAAACACACACACACACATACTGTAAATATATATGTGTGTGTGCGTGTATTTATATGCAGTGTATGTTAACACATGTGGTCGGCTCCTTGTGCAAGGCCTCCTTTGCCTCGGCAAGCTGGTCGAGCTCTTGAACAGCAGATTCACGGTTGGACTCTGCTTCAGCCTTGTCATTCTTCGCATCAGCCATCTCTTTCATCTTTCCGTCCACCTCGGATTGCTTTGCTTTGATGTTCGTCCCAGTCTGCTTGACAAAGTCCTCATAGGATGATTGAGAATCTTGCTCATCCTGAGCAGGGTTAAAAGCCTCCTCAATCTGCAAGCAGGGCTGAATCGCACCATAGTAGGACATTTATTTATCACTCTCCTCCGTTCTTAATACATTACCGCCGCATGGTACCGCAAATGTTGCAGTCTAAGCACTTAGACTTAGATTCCTAAAGACCAGTCATCAATCAGCCATGATAGCAGCTGATAGCAGAGAGTCAACATGACCGAATTGGGTACCGTGTGATGCCACAACCTCTCTCTCAGGCACTAAATTAAGAATTTACAACAAAGGACCCCCGGGCAACACGCCCCCGTCCTTGATGGCCTCTTGTTCCAATTTGTGGGCATCCCCTGCAATGGTTTCGATGAGAGAGATCACACCCTGCCCACCCGTGTTCTTCTCATAGTCTTGAAATCCTTCTGGATTTCCAAGGTCAGGTTCGGCTCTGGAACTCATCTGCCCTTGAGCTGCATGGTTGTGGGACTGAATTTGAACCAGCGAAGACTTGGAAGAAACACCGGTGGTGTAGAAATTCTTGAGAAACTGCACGGCCTTCTTCAAGATCACCTGTGTCTGTTGCTGCTCAGTAGCTTCTGTTTGGAACTTGATGTTCTCCTTCTGACGGGTCTGTCCAGCAATCTGAATCTGCTTCTTCATTTCAGTGATTTCCGACCTCAGCGACATCACATCCTTCTGGCACTTGCTGATCTTTGCATCCATCAATTGAATTTTATCTTCGGTCCGATTCTTCAGCGCGCCCTTGTCCTCCGTTGAGAGTGCATTCTCATTCAAGTCATCCACACACATCTCCCGGTGCGTGGCCTCATCCTTCTTCTGTTGTGTCAAGACTGCACTCATTTCTTCAATCTTCTCCTTGACTTTGGTGAAAGGATCCAGCTGCCCTTGGAGGCCCAAGGTGACCAAACTCTGGGCTCCGAGCTTCCGTCCCTGCTGCATCAAAAAGGTGGCGGCCTTATTCGTGAGGTCATCCTCACTTGCGACCTGCAGGAAAGAGACACTTTTCCTCAAAAGATCCCGACTCTCATCACCTTGAAACACTTCCAGAGCTTTGCTCACCGCTTGAAGCTCTGAGGATCGAGTCTGAGTGCGCTCTTGGAACTTCGCATCACTTCCAGTGCAATGTTTCTCCACCGCGGCCTGAAACTTCAAATCCGCCTCTCTGGACTTGGTGATGGCCTTTATGTCCTTCTTTGAGATCTCCAAGGTGCTCTCCGACTCGGCCTTCTCCTGCTGCTGCTCCATGATCTGCTGCTCCAGAAGCTTCACCTCCTTGGTCTTGGCTTCAGTCAGCTCGCTGTAAGATTTCCTCGGCTTTGACATGGTATTTATTCAAGTTCCAGACCAGTTTCTTCCAACCTGCGCACAACAACACAACATTCAATAATTCGATAGTCAATTTCAATAGAAAGGTCATGAACAAATGCAGAACATCGAGAAAGAATAGCTTGTTTGTCATATCCGCAGTTCTGATTGGCTTTCTCTTCATCAACCTCCTTCTGCAAGTCTTCAGAGAAATCATCCGCCATGGCTTGAAGGATGCCTACAATGGAGGAACTTGATGGATCCTTGGACTTTTGAAGGAAGGAGGTGCGCTTGAGGAATTGCACAGGCCTTTTGATGAAATCATCTAGAATCATCTTGCCGCCGTTTGACAGCTTGCTGTAGGAAGCCGCCCCTCGGCCTTGAAGCACCTTTTGCAAGTTGTCTGCCACTTTGCGCATCTCAGGCTGCTGCACCAAAGATGCTGAGTACACGGATTGCATTTCAGCAGTGGAGCTTGCATTGAGAGCAATTTTGGCTTTCTCGACGCCGTTGATCGAATCGGTCAAGGAAGCTTCATCCTCTTTGAAGTTCTTCACTTGCTCGGCGCGGATGGTGGCTGCAGTCTCCAAGGTTGCCTTGTTCTTGTTCAACTCTTGTGTGGCTGAGCGGATTTCCGTCCCCAACTCATCAATCTTTGGCCCAAGCTCACTCACGAGCGTGGTCAATCCCTCCACTTTTTCCCGGGCTGCTTCAGCAGCGTCAAGCTTTTCCTGGCTGTTTTTCTTGCACCAGCAGTCCAACTTCTCTTTCATGTCCTCATCAGCCTTCTGATCTTCCTCCAACTTGGCCGACATGGACTCCAGGAGTGAGACCACCTTGGCAATGGGTTTCGATTCCTGGGCAAAATCCTCCTGAAAGTTTGCGCCAGCCAGGGGGAAGCTCAGCAGTCCCAACATCCAAAACATCATGCTTCAGACCTTGCTCAGGCTCAGGGCTTCAGTACTTCAATGGGTCAGATGTCACTAGGCTGATGCCTAGTAGTTTGCGCCAAATGCATGGGCTGCACAAGCACCAGAGCAAGCATGCCCTTGACACATATATATATATATAATTATATATATCCCATGCAAAACATATATTTCATACAACTGAATACTCGACGGCTCTAGAAAGCTCCCACAGAAGTGCTCAAGTGCATCCCAAACAAATGCAAAATGATTCAGCAAATGGTCAAGTGTGAGGGATGCAACATGGAAAATAGAGACTGTCAGAGAGGTGAGGTGTCTTGACTCCTCCAGTGGCACCAGCCTCCGCTCGCATCTGCAAAGGCACCAGCTCATCGCGGCGGATCTTGCTGCGCTTCAGGACGGAAAAGTCCATGGGATTATCAGAGGCCGCCTCTCCATGCAAAGGAAAGTCTTTCAACTGAAATTGAGTACTATTCAGCTAGTAGGTGGAGGCCATCGCTATTGGGTCGGAGGCCGGGGGCTATTGCGCTCCTTATTTGGGCTCCTTTCACACTGAATCCGTCGCCGTCGTTGCGATCTATCGGGTCTCGACCGCACGTCTTCCTCCCACCTCTTCAGGCACTTGGGTATATTTTGCAAGGCGCTGCAGGGCGTTGAGGACATTCAGAAAATGCGTGAAGGAAAGGCATCTTGGCGCAACATGTATTTCGCAACAGCTTTAACAAGCTCTAAACTGCCACTCTGGTGTGATTCTCATAGCGAAGGCTGGGAATATCAGCTGCTGCTTTGCCTGAGGGCGCCGCAAGCCTTCAAACGAAGACATCTGAAAGACAGAAAAGCTGACGCATGTGGCCAGAAGCCCCATCGGCACACCATACCACAGTCCGCTGAGAGCAAAGTATCCCGTGAGAACACCAAAGCAAAGAAACACCTGCCAAACAAGTGGCTGTGTCGTGGACTGGTTGATCACACCATATGGCATGCTGGACTGGAAAATGCTGCATAATACGTGGCAACTGAACAACACTCAATTTTCAAGTGTACTTTCTGAGGAGGATGCGCGGGACTGTGCCCAAGCTCTGCAAATGTAATAGATCAAGTTCCTTTGCAAACAGGATCTGCAGATTGGGCTCTAGCTACCATACTCCCGAACTGCTAATGATCTGGTCTCTCTTTCTTCCTTCTTCTCCAAAACCATTGTTTTGCCACCCAGAACGCCAAAACACCCAGATTCAAGAAACACACAAAATGGAATCTCTGACTATCTCTGTCTCTGCCTATGTTCCACTCTTTCTGGCACATTGTCACATTGACGAGGCAAAGGTTGGCAAATCACTCATCACAGCTCATTCATTAAGGATACACTCTGCCTCTATATTTAGCAGCACCTTGGTCCACCTGAGGCTACCTGTGTATCAAGTTCAACTAGGTGTCTCGTTCTTGTATGATCTGCGGACACACCGATGCACAACTCCATTCAAGGTTGGAGCACCAATGCACAACACGTATCGGCAGCAGAGGTGCTGGGAGCGGATCACACTATGAGAATAGTGATTGTAGCGCGACATGAAGCTATCCATCATACCATTCGCCCGGATCGAGATGCACTGCGTAACGACAACCTTGCACCGCCAAATCAGACCAATTTGTTCACTCTCTAGGGGGTCTGCATCCAAAAACTGCTTGCAGCAAGACGAGTCACCGCTTGTAGATCTTGTAAAGAAGACAAGCAGTGCTTCGAGTGAAACACCAAAGGTACGGCAGTACCTCGATATAAATAGACGAAGTAGAGCCTCAGACAATTTCGGCCATGCTCATCGTCTCATGGATTGACAAACAATGAATGTGGTGCTCGTTCATCTTGCAGGCAAAACATTGAAATCCTGGCCAGAACCAGCAAAGACACGTGAGAGCATAGATGGGAAAGGAGCATACGGAGACAAATCCTCATTGCTGCGGAAAGGAATACATTTGATCTAGTTGGTTTCCAAAAGCGTGAGTCAGGTTGCTGGTGACACCTGAAATAGACTTCCGTGACTAGCAAACGTCTTGATCCTCTAGAGGCCAAGTGGCGAGGCATGACAGAGAGAACGAATAAATTCGTTGTCACCATACCAATGAACAATTGCAACAGGCCAAAGAGGGTGGTGACCTCAGATCCACACGCGTGACTGGTGTCCGGAGGGTCCCTTCCAACACCTGTAACGTAGGTCGGACGTGTCTGAACATGTCCAGACAACTTTTCTTGTAGGCTAAGGTCGGTGCAAAAGTCTCATCTACCTGGAGACCGGAACCCTCAGATTTGAGATTCCTGTTGGACATTTGCCCTGCCCTGCCTGCTTCATGTCAAAGGAGAGGCGGTTGATTAGTCGGCCCACTGGATGCTTGTCATAGAACCTGGCACCAATGCAAGCTTCACGGAAACATCTGGCCAGGCCATTCCCAGCCAAGGCTTGCGCTTAATTACAGTAAATACATGTAAATAATAACGACATGTCCACGTGAAAATGTACAAAGACAGTATCATAATCACACACCAACACACAGACTCAAGACATGTGTTGCGTAGTCCAGCTGTCTCAGTCATCAGGCCTGTCCACAGGAGCTTTCAGCAAGCGACTGATGACTTCGTCATGAATACGCCTCAGGTTCAAATTGAAAACAACCGCATCCCACCAATGCCTTCGGCTGTCACGCAGACTCTGGGGTCTAAGCCGTGCTGCCGCCAGCGCAGTGACCGAAACTGAAATGTATGTGATGCTAATGCAAACGCAACAGCACAGCACAACCACGATGACCCGGGTCCTTAGTTTCAGGCTGTCAGGATGCAGTCATCCCTTTCGAGCAGGCCGGGGTTCGTTGCTGGTCAGAATGAGCGAGTAAGCTGGAGGAAACTACTAGCAGGATGCAGTAACGATGCAGTAGAGCCATCGGCGTAAGAAACAGTGCTGAAGTTTGAGTGAAATGCCGCGTCCATAGCCTTTAGACGGCTTGACAGTGACACAATCTAGGTGCTCATTCCCATTCTGTGACTGTTCGAGCAAGCTTCATAAAGATGCTATCTGATGTGTTTGCCTGCGTCACCTGCCAAGATGCCCCTTGCGAGCACAACCATGTTTGACATACATACACTGTTTTCCATTGATCACAGGGCTTCGTGTCCATGAACACCGGAGCCCGCCAATGGGCAGACACACTCTCTCTCTCTCCCTCTCTCTCTCTCTCATCGCCTTCGAGTCGACCCATACGGCAATGACCAAGCTCTCTCGGAGCTCCTTGGATGGTGCCAGCTCTCTTTGCATCTCTGGGCTGCTAGGCCACTGATGTGACCCCAAGTCAAGCTTGTTGCCACACTTCCGAAACATGAAAGCATCCAAGGCACCACAACTGCCTGGAGAATGATCGCGCACAAGACAACAAATAAATTTGTGTAGCCTGACAGGGCATGACAGGACCGATGGCAAAGGACAAGGAATGAACAAAGACACTGGCCATGAGTGCCACAATTGCAATAGTGGAGACCAAACACATCCAAACACAAAACACCTTGTGCCTGCAGTCTTCACCCACCACCAAAAGGTTGGCCAGGTGATGTCTTCTCTGACTTCCTCTTCACGAAGCAGCATGCCTTCGCACCGAAGAACTCAAAAGCACAACTTGAAAGGAGGAAGCTACTAGGAACAAGTGCATCGCTTCCAGTAACAAGTGCCTTACTAGTAGTAACAATGTTCGCTACTAGGAACAAGTGCCTTACTACTAGTGACAATAAGACGTCTCCACTTCCTAATAGCGTCTTGTTCCTAGTAGCGATGCCCATTTGCCCCTAGTAGCGTCCTTGCTCCTAGTAGCGATGCTTATTATTTATATTCTATTCTTTAACGGTACCCTTTGGGTTCTAGTAGCGTCCGATCGCTCCTAGTAGCGATGCCCTCTGTTACTAGTAACTTCTTGTTCCTAATGGTAATGCCAGGAGCTACTAGTGGCTTCTTGTTACTAATTATTGTCATTGCTACTACTATTGTTAGACAAGTTGATTATATAAGTACATTTGATGTTGCTCAGGCATACTCAGGCCTCGCGTATATTCAGCACAGCTATTACAGTAGTCTGCTCGCAGGACCCAACATGACCCAGGTGCCTGCTTCGTTGGCTTCCTTCACGGCAAGTGCCACGTCCATTCTGGGAGCAAGAGCTGGGCTGCTGCCTTTGGCAAGAACCTGGACTTCTTCTTCATCAACCTGTGCTTGAATTCGCTTGAAGGACTCCGTTTCCTCGGGTGAAGTGAGTTGTGAGACATTGAAGGCAGCCGGCCCATCGAACATCGACTGCAAACGACCCAGCACTGGAGTGAAGCGACAGGTGTTGCAGTGATGTTGCACCATTGAACCCTGGTCTTTTGATGTCTTTTGGCTATCCCATGCTATCCCCTTCACTGACTGTGACCATGTCTCCATCACCTCAGCTGGTGGGCCCATGGCTACAATGCAGCCGTCTTCGAAGAGCAGCACACGGTCAAAGTGTTGGAGCCGGATCTTGTCCGGCTGGGTGACGACAATTCGCGTCCTCCAGGCATGTTTGAATTCGTGCCAGGATATACCAGGCTCCCTCCTCTGGGGTGGCATTCATGGGCAATTCAAACACCAATGGCAAAAGTGGCAAGGAAAATGCTCGCTTCTGTCAAGCTTCCGGCCACGCATCACAGAACCAAGAATAAGCCTGGCATCAAACGCTCACTGCAACATACTGCAACTACATCGCGCCCTCACTCAAGTTGTGAGTGATTTTCAGCCGAGCCGCTCATTGAAGATATGTTGGCCTAAGTGATTGTGGTGAGTCTAGGCTCGAAGCATCTCTGAGCCCTAAGTCTAGGGGAAACCCCTGCTGTATGCAACTCCAATGACCTGTTGGGCCATCCACGGACGCAAAAGGATCATCCATCAGTACAAGATTGGCCGCCTTCGAGCAGCTTCAAGCATGGGAAAAGCAGTCCTTCCCCCCAACCAATTTGAAGAGTTTAAGTGTCCGTTGAATTGATCGGTAACAACCGAGATAAACAGCTGAAACCTGTATATATATATATATCAAGCCTCCATGTATGCTGCACGTGCGAGTGCGACGCGGGCTCGTTGGCCACCCGATAGGCGGATTCCGAAGGAGCCAATGGTCACCTGCTGAAGACAGCGCTCGAAGACAGTGGGTGACGTGACGTGACATGAAGAAATGCGAAGAAATGACCCCAAGTGACATGCAACTACAGTATACAACCAGGGGCTGACATGCAACTATGCAACCATTGTAACCCTGCGACCGCCCCCAAGAGCCAACAACCTGTAGAACCAAGCATGATCGGATCACTGACCACTGCACATACCAAACACCATCGAAACACCGCGGAGACAGCATCAAAATTACAACATCCAAAAAGCATCATCAAAACGGCACCGGGCATCAGTTCATTTCATTTCCCGTGCTTTGAATGCGTTGCGGCAGTTCTTGGCTGGCGCACCAAGACCATTCATGGCCTCTGAACGAAGATCATTTTGGCTGATGCAAGATCATATTCAAAAGAAGCAACTCAAGCTTCTCAAGTGCCAACGACCGGACATCATCAAAACATATCAAAACAGGAGCGGAGCACTGTGAAGGCATGACTGGGCCACCATTAAAGCACCATGGCAACGACCGGGACATTTAAAGTGACCGGGGACCCAGCAAAACACGCCGATAACACCAGGCAAAAACGACCAGCACCCGCAACACAATGGAAGACCAGTAGAAGGGGAAAGGCGATTTTTGCATATCCTGCTCCGTGTGTTGAAGAATTGTATTTTCTTGCAACGTCACCTGGTCACCCCCAGGCAAGATTTGCAAATCGGGTGCCAGTCCAGCTGCAGAGATGCAACTATAGTATCCTTACTGCAGGGAGACGGATAGAAAAATCTGCTGTGGCTAGCTGACTGTGGAGGTTCGCTAAGGTCACGGCGATCATGGTGCATGGCTGACTTCGTCACGATGTTCTCGCGCAAAGTGCCCTCAAAGATCCAAGGAACCTTGCATGAGACGTGAGCTAAACCGGAGAAGCCCAGTGTCACACGCCCAGAGTAACTAATAATGAAAGTCACGGGGTTGTCACACCAAGACATCGTCTCACATGTGTGAGATTGTTTGAGTCACATGGTTGTCACAGTAGTTTTAATGGTCACCCCACCTGGGAGCAGTAAGCGACATTGCCGGACGAAGCATCCGGAGCCTCCACGAAGCTGTTCCTCAAAATTCGGCCGCTTGGTCGTTAGAACTGGCACTGGCACATGCTGGCAAATACAGGCAACTGGCAAACACTCTTCAAACATCTTCGACATCTTCAAAATTCAAGCATCTTAAATCTGTTCAAGTCTAAATGTTCAGGGCATCCAAGCAGCTCTATAGGGTACAGTTCTCCAATGATGGTCTGCAAGAACGTTGTCTTCCCGGAGCCAACTCGACCAATTACACCGACCAACTCCTTACTTTGCTTGGAACTGTCAAGGTTTGCATGGTGCCTTTCAAGATGGTGAGCTTAGGGGTGTGGCAAGATATCCATGATATATGATATATTATGATATAGCAATATGAGTACATGACACAACCTTTGGATGCCTTTAGCGGCAATTCATTCAATCCAGTGGATGCCACCACTTGAGCCTCAAATAGCCCTCAATGCCTAATCATGATAGCGAGGTGCCGTCGCACTAGGCGCTCAAGAGAGCGTCTCCCCGTCGACACGTTGCCAAGTTGCCCCCTTCGGAATTGCAACGTCCAGGTTCTTCAGGTTTGGCTTCCTGAGCGGGCATCAGTCAAAGAGCCTTGCCTGCGCAACATCTCGCAACAAGTTGTGACATGGATTGATGGCCAAAGAGCGTTCCGCCATATGTGAAGCTGCCTGTCACCCGAAGGGCAGGTGCATTCTGGTTCTGTAAAGATGGCTGCCGCACCACGTTCTTAGTAGACGCTGGAGTCACCCCAGCACGTCGAATGAACATGACAGCCTGACATCTATGATGGTCTATCCACAACATCTCTCTCCTAAGTGACATGGTGCCCAAACCACGAGCCAAGGGTCATTTGGGCGGTCGGGTTGGGCTAAAAAACGCCTCAGCTTGCTCCCACAATGAGGGGAAATACTGAAAGGCAGAAACGGGTCTCTTTTTGGCACTGATGACATTTCTCAGGTTTCGTTGGTACTCTTCAGCTGGGCGTCTTGATTCGGTTGAAGCTGTTGGGCACTGTCATCAGTCTCGTAAGGCCAGCAGACAGCTGCGCGATATTGCCCAGCAAGGCCTCGGGTCGTGAGTGACGAGGCTGACCGAGGACAGTTGCAGCACTGGGCTTCAGGTGAGGTGCTCCAATGACGCGTTGGATGATCATGATCTTATGTGCTTCCACGGGGCCTGGACGCATCCAGTCCAACCAACAGGACTCAATCAGTCGAGAAGAGAAAAAAGAAAAAGAAAACTTGATAAAGAAGAATCTAATAGAAATGGCCGTTAAATGGCCTCCAACCTACTAGCGATGGCCTCGCCCTACTAGCGTTGACAGAAAAGAAAAAGATGTGCTGTGTTCTTGTGGTTTCATCGTTGCTGTGAGAAGCACCGTTTCTCTCGGCGAACCAAATGGTGATAATCATCACTCCCCACGGCACGGTGTGGCCAATCGCGGTAATAATGCCAGACAGCATCTGAGTGAAAATGACAAAGCCAAAGCCATTTTGCCAACTCCACAAGACTCACAAAACCCTTGATGCATACATTGGCATTTCGGATATTTCGGCATGCACCTCAAACAGTTTCACCTTCAAATCCAAGCCGCGATAATGGTCCTGGCGTTTTTGAGCTCGCCATCCCGTGCCTGGCACGAAAAGTCGGTCGCCGTGGGTCACTCACTTCGTCACGTCCCGCCTCCATCAATCTCTCATAGGATAGGCGTTCCCAGGCCAGTGCTTTCACTGTGCGAATTGAAATGAGCGTTTCCTCAGCAAAGAAAGACGGAATCATCGGAAGCCAACAAACTTGAAACGTGACACTGGCATGAAAGACACACAGTGAAATCAAAGGCCAAGGCTAGAAGATAAGAAAAACGGCAAATGTCTTTACTTTTCTGCGCACTGGTCCTTTGGAAAATGCACAGTAGGGTGCGCATGCCCCAAACTTTGATGATTTGATGCGAACGTGCTTCCATGGGTCCCGAAGAACAAACAACTGCAGGTGCAAAGAATTGCAACAGCATTTGGTACGAACGGTGACGATTTGGTCAGGTTGCAGTTAGCCACTTCATGCGCTTGTCCAAGCATATTTGGTACTTCCTGCGCGAAAATCGACAGCTTGACGCCTCACATGCTATCATCAGCGGGTGGCATATGTTGGTTTAATATAAAGTTAAGGTATATATGCACGAACCCCTGTGCTCTTGAAGTTGTCTGGTGAACTCAGGTGCAGTGGGTCAGCTGATGTCAGTAAGCTGGGCCTCCAAAAGTGCATTCCAAATCTTGCGAAAATCGTAGAGAGCAGCATCACAGGAACCACATAGGTTGCTCCGACCTTGGCTTCGTCCCCTCCCCCCATGCCCGGCCCTATGCCGCCCTACCGGTAGACCGAAAAGTGCAAACTCAGCCAGGAGCGCAGCAATTAGTCTACCAAACTCACCCTTAATTTGCTTTCACAAATGGTCCAAAGCGCTGTTGCCGAGGCGTCGCCAACCTGATGGATCATGATCACCAGGAGTATAATTGCAGAGATTGGCGCAGTGATCGTACCAAAGGTTTCCTGAGGCGGAATGGAACACCACTTTGAAGCGCTCAAAACCTGCTGGCTGCAACCAATCTACAGCAACGAGGCCACCCCAACAGTCCACAATATCCACATTGAGCAGCTGCACCTGGTGTCAAATTGAAGCTGGGCACTGTCAGGAGCTCAGCGCTGTGCTTAGTGCAAGGCCAGATTGGGTTTGTGCAGGCCCAAAGGATCGACCTCTTCATCATCATTTACCTAGGCCAAATTGATATCACATTGACGTTCCTCATGACTCGTGCGACTTGAATCGTTCTAGATTCTACCCTCTAGTGAAGGCTAAATGGAGGGTGTGTGGAGAAAGGGGGTCAACAAAAATCGCTTATACGAAGTTAGTCAACAAAAATACCTTCCACGAAGTTCTGCGAAGGTTTCTGGGATTTCGTTGCAGTCAGTTCTCCTACTGGCCCACCATTCCACGAACTGTCCACGAATAGCCTTGGGTTCTACGAATGTCCCGCGCCTTCCACGATGTTAGTAGAATAGGTTTTTACAAAACCCTTTCTGTGCACTACCCTTCCGTTTGCCTCTGATCTAGGTTGTGTGAGGTTGTCAATCTCATCCCACAGAGGTGGGGATCAAATTGACAATTAAGGATTAAAACATAAACAAAAAACAAAAGAAGCGCAGGCAAGGATCAACAGAAAACAACATCTAGCGATGTTGCATTAGAAACACAGGACAATGAGGATCAAAACAAGATAAGCAAGGATCAAGAATCAAGAAGTACATAAACAGTGGCGTGTGCAGTGGCAGCGTCAACAAAAGTAAGAGTGGAAAATAAAAACAATAGATCAAACAAGTTAGTTAAATTTAGTTAACATATACTAGTAGCACTTAGTGATAAAGCAGTGGTAGCAGTCGCACTAGTAGTAGCAGTAGTAGTAGTAGTAGTAGTAGGTCTAGTAGTCGTAGTCGTCGTAGTAGTAGTAGTAGTGGTGGTGGTGGTAGTAGTAGTGGTAGTGGTGGTAGTAGTAGTAGTAGAAGTAGCTTAGTAGCAGCAGCAGTGTCGTTTGTCTTCCCCTTCGCAGGAACTTAAATTAACTCTGCCTAGCTATCGGATCTGCCCTTTTTCTTTTCTTCCCTCCTTCCTTCCTTGGGTTCTTTGCTTCTTTTTCCTGGCTGTTCCCCAGGTCCGACAGCTATGGGCTATGGGGCGCTTACATCAAATAAGAATGAACTGCCCACTCGCGCATTCGAGACACGCTGCTGGCGCTGGGCGCCGGTGCTGGTGCAGGGTGTCAATGCTGTGGCCTGCTTGCAAGCTGCCCGTGCGCGTTGTGGAGACAGCGTGCCGGTGCCTGTAATCAAACAATGTATTGTAACGCATGCGCCCCGGGCTCTCTTGAGTACGTATTGCGTATGTTGCGGTGGATGCTGATGAGCGCGCTGCGGCGCGCGCAAGATTACTCTCAATACCAGGTTCTATGGTTGAGCGCGCTCTGCCACGCGCTCAATGGGGTCGCATAAGGCTCCACAGACCACGTGCACTAGGGCAACACAATTGGAGCCAGCAAAGCGCGGGTAGCACATGTATGTCACAGAGAGTTTTTTTGGCTTGTTGGCCGCCTAGCTATCTGGGGTCCGCTGGTGCAATTTTTGAGATGGCGCGGCGAGACTATTGAATATTGGTGTTCATATTTCAAGCATAGGAAAAGGTGTCTGTGTGCCAGATGTGTATGACCGTGTGTGTTTTGGAGACTGGGTGGTGGCGGGATGTCTACGCCGTGTGCGTTTTGAAGCGCCGGCGCTGCTGCTGCTGCTGCTGCTGCTGCAGGGCGCTGCACGACGCAGGTATTAGCGGCTATCTGGGAGCAATGTTTTTTTGTTGGATCCCTGTCTGCTTTCTATTTCCCTACATAGCGAAAGCTATTGGGATTCTTACTTCAAGTGTAGGAAGGTGCCTGTGTGCGCGTTGGAGCCTGAATGTTGGCGCTGGCACGCTGCAGTTGAAAGGCGCCGCTGCCAGATGTGTGTGTGTGTGTGTGTAACCTTTGGAGTCACAAGGTTCCTGTTGGAATGTGTTTCTTTACCGTTTAGATTTTGAAGCAGGGGGGCTCGTGGACGCATGGATGGCACGAGCCAACGAAGACCCATCCATGTTGTCGTGAAAACGTATCTGCAATTTGATCGCTCCTCGGTCTGTGAGTGACAGCTGGAGGATCCCAAGCTTTGGTCCCTGCTAGTAACTAGAACAAGATCTTTCTTCTTGCTTCGGTTCTGCAGTCACGCATAGGGCGTTGCTTTTGCTTTCTTGAGTTTTAGAGTTTGGCCACCTAACGACTAGAAATGATCAGGCCTCGCCTTACCTGACCTTTCAGGAACTTGGTAGACTAGGTTGCCGTGTGGCGAGCGGCGAGCGGCATTCGAGTCAGTACGCATTTCCATAATAAGTGTGTGTGTGTGTGTCAACTCCCGTCTCCAGGGACACCACTCACTACTAGTTTCTACTTGCACAGATTCCAGCAGGGGGATGCCCCACACCTCAAAAGAGAGCATCTAGCTACGAGGCTCTTCAGGTTGTGCTGAAATCAGCACGGGCGCTTGCTGAAGTACCTGCTTGCACATTTTTGAACAATACTGTTTCTGAACCATCGCCGTTCCGTTTGCACAGGGCCATTTCTCAGGTTTGAGGTCATCTGCAATAACTAGCTCTAAAGTGCTAATGATCTCGGAGATCTCCACTGAAACTCTGCTCTTTAGAGCTTTATTCTGAAGTGTGCGCCCGTGTTTGCTTTGGAGCTTGGATGCAGGTGCTGCTGCAGGGTGCCGCTGAAGGGTTGCAGATGTCTATGGCGGTGTACACTTTGGAGCCTGGGCGCTGGTGACGCTGCACCGCGCTGCCGGCATTCTTTTTGCTATCTGGGAGCTATGCTGGCATAAGTGTGTTTTGTTGATCCCAAATTTGTTCTTTTTTGATGCCTCTACGGTGCCGAACTTGTCTATTGTACAAAGCTACTGGCTCTTTTTGGCGGGGGCACCAACCGCGACCAGTCGTGCAGCCGTGCTACCACGTCCCTCTCTGACTTCACTTGCCCAGCCGGTGTCCTCAAGGCCTTGTGGAACACAATCGATGCCAAACCTGCAAACAGTGTCTATGTGCAGAACACCCTCTGCGGATGCTAGGTGTGCTAGTAAGTTCTGGCAGATGGGCGCGTTTAAGCAATTTGCAAGTGAGTGTGGAAGGAGTTTGGGGAGCATGACAAAGGCCACCTGATGCACAAATCTGTGTATAGTGCCCATCCACCAGGCAAGCAATGATTCCAGATCCGCGGAAGATCATCGGAGAACCCCAAATCCAAACCAAAGTCCTTGGAACGCCAGGATCATTGGAGTCTCTCGGGTGAAGCATATTTCTGAGAATGCTTCCAGGCAAGTCGCAGGATTACTGGAGATAGAAAATCTATCGGCTCACCTGGATGTGTTAGTCGATACCTGAAAGCATCAATGTCCGAACGGTCCGAGGGCCTCACAACAAACTACAGCGCTTATCAATATAGGATGAATACAACCCGAAGATATGCAAAGTGGCGTGTCCAACTCCTCCAGACAGTTCAGGAACATGGTGAGGCCAATAACCATGACCACCTGAGTGGGCAGGTAGTCCTCTAGTCGCGGGCATGTGAACCTCACAAAAGTAAACGAAAGTAGTCTATATAAAGAAGCACTTTCATGGCTGTGGCAGTGATGAAAGCAGTACAAGAAACTCTACGGCACTAGCAGCACGAGTTTCGAAGACGCGCCCATCGGCCCTATCCCACGGCATAGAAACAGTGGTAGCAGGAGGCAGAATTGGAAGCAGCATCACCACAGGCACCACGGAGCATTGGAGCATTGGAATCATTGCAACAATGCAGCCGAATCGAGCGCTACTGCAGCGTCTCCAAGAGTGCTACTCAGCGCTACCCGCTGCTGTTTGTCATAGGTTGCATCTCTCATTAGATTGCTAGCCTCTTCTGCAGCTTGTCTGCTGGCTGGGGTTCATGAGATAATTGACCACCAACTGCTGAGATTACCAACACTCTTCGGTGAGAAAAACTTTGCCATGCAGGTCTTTCGCAGGCGCGCATCCCACACATCATCCACCAATCCATGCTCCAATCAACAATGATCACTCCTACATCAACATTGATCAACAATTTCAAAGGATTAGTGTCAGTATATAGTTAGACGTGGTTACGTTGAGTGTGGGTCACCAAAAGAATATAAACCCCAAGCAAGAACAAACTCCCATGTTATCTTTTTCAGAGCGCTAGTCGGTTGGAGGCCATCGCTAGTAGGTGTCATTGCAGCAAAGCAGCTCCCGAGCTCAGCTGCTCTATCAGGGCCAAAACGCACAATAACGCAACTGCTCTGCCGCCAATTGTGTGGTATAGTGCTCTCAAAATCCATGCCTGAAACACGCCATACCAAGCACATGCATGATGCCTCGCCCAGTGCGGCTGGCAGCCTTATGTAAAGATTCGATCCCCAAGAAAGAATTCATATACAGTCATGACATTGCAACATTTATATAGACCTGTATACAGGAAAAAGGAAAAGGCACCAACTTTAACCTCTCAACATCTGACAACATGGACATCTCTCTCTCTCTCTCTCTGTGTCCCTCTCCCTTTTCCTCTCTCTGCCTCTCTGCCTCTTTGCCTCTTGGCCTATTTCTCTTTTTTGTTCTCCTCTCCTCTCCTCTCCTCTCCTCTCCTCTCGTCTCGTCTCGTCTCGTCTCGTCTCCTCTCGTCTCCTCTCTGTCTCTCTCTCTCTCTCTCTCTCTCTTTCTCTCTCCTCCGTGCCTTCTCCACGGACCCCGCGCGTTTGACCTCCTCTTCCCAGTTCTTTTTGAAGAGCACATAGGGTTCGAAGTTCTCATCCTTCGGGCTCGAGCTGTCTGGAGATGAAAACCTATAGCAACTCAATGACTAGAAATAGATGTTCCCGGTTGTCAGTATATTTCTACCCTAACAGGGAGTGTGCAAAGGCATGTCTTTTCCTTGGTTTTTACCCCTTCTTTATTTGAACCCCACGCGCAATGCACAGAAACTATGCAAATTTTGGGCCCGGCCCACAATCTCAATCTATATTGCAAAGACATACCAAAGGACTTTCGACATTGGACGTGCCCGTGTGTGTGAAGCAGAATATCACTACCCACCCAAAGATTCTGTTGGAGACTTAAACTGGGAGCCACCTGGAGAAACTCACTCAGACTCACTCCCTCTCTCCTGGCGATTGACCACAATCTCATTGTCGTCGATCACAGCATGAGAGCATTTACCATAGCGCCCCACGAGTTCGTCCACCCAGCCGAGGCTCATGTAATTGAACACTCCGCGCTGGTAGGCCTAGCGCCCAAAGTGAACCGCCAAACCGTTGAAAGACTGACCTTCCAGTGGAACTACCGAAGCGCGGAGTTGGATGCAGTTTGTTGTGGCACAAGAGCGAAACGAGCGAAGCAAGCACACCACTTTGTGCGGTATGGGAACATGCTACACAGAACATATCACTGAAATTCAACCATGTGTGGATATGTGTGGATAATACATGAACATACTGTAACATCGGCACCAGGTGGCATGACAAAAGCACCCAGCATAGGCACAATCCAGGTGCAACCACACGCAAACCTTCCCAACCTACCCCGTGCCCCTGTCCCATGTCGATTCTAGATGAACCTGCTTCAAGCTGCATATTGACTTGGCGGAGGCAACGCAACAGCACAGGGTTGGCAAACAACCGGTGGTCCGTGCCAATATTTGCCGCAAGGTGGTGCCGCAAGCTCATCTAGAAAGGCAACCACATGCGAATCGTGCTGGGGAAAATTAATTAACCTGGAATGCAGCACTCAACCACTTAATTACAGAAGCGGTGCCACGTGAGCACGTGTTTCTTTAAGTGCTTGCTGCCTGTTATTTTGTGTCAATTGGCCACAGCTCTGTTAGCTTCCACTACAGATGCGCAGGAGCTGCAATTCTTGTCCTTTGTGCCGGCGCAGTTGCAAGAAGCAGTTGGAGAGGAGGCGCACAAAACTGACACATTTGCTGATAGATGCGGACGTTCCTGCCCTGGAAAGCAGGCTCTGGCTCCGTCTGGCTCCATCAGCTCCGCGCAAGACATTGCAGGGCTACCGGCCAACAAGCAGAATAGAAACGCAGCATGCACAAACTACAAAGCTGCGTTTTCTGTTTCAGGAAACCATAGGAAACCTGTGTCCTGGCCCATTTATATAGATGGACCTTGGTCCACTCCATGTTCCCCAATTCAAGCAAGCCGGTTTGCTTCCATGCAACAAATCAACCTTTTGGGATACTGGGCACAGCCTTCATCTCATCGGCGAGCCCGGTCTTCACCGTGTCAGTCGTGCCTTTCCTGGGCACCCTGTAAACAGAAATGAAGGACCTTGGATGCAAAGTTGACAAAGCCCTGCTTGCACATGCTTGCACAATACATCGACAGTGCATGACATTGCCAAAAAGAAACGTCATAGCCCTGACCAGGTTAGAATGACAAAGTTGGGCCAAAGTTGGGCGCAGTAATAATTTACAGTAAATCTTCGATCGAAGCTGGGGACCATCACGGACCCTCTCTTGGAGCCCGGCCAAAGCATCAGGGTGATAGAAACTGCTCCCCAGCCGAGACAAATGTTTCTCGCAAGGCTGTTGTTCCTGTCAAGTGTGTCTCCTGCGGGAGCTCATGTCATGGCTCAGGTCGACAACTCATCGATCATGCGGTTGGCCTCAGAACACAGAACAAACATTCAGAAATTCTTCCCTCCTATGGCGAAGTACTTCGAAATTGAAGTCAATGAAGTCCAACCACAGTGAGGGAGCGATCGAATAAAGCCTCGGCAACGCTACCAAGGTGTCAAGGTGTTGCCTCACGGTCATGTGTTCAAAGGCACCACGAACCATGATCATTTCAGAATGGTACAGGAAGCGCCAACCCATCACCCCTTCTTGGACGCAAACACTCTGGTGTTGCTAGCAACACTGCTGTCTAGTTTCACAAATTTTGCAGGCCGATTTGCCAAGCTCCCTGAAGGCTTGAATTTGGGCCGTGGTCTTGATGGTAAACGGCACCTCATGCGACATTTCATCTGGACAAATGTCACTCAAGCTGGATGTGGGCAAAGTCTTCTGCCCTGAGCCTGCCTCGAAGCCCAGGTCCTTGCTCAGGGGGCAACCATCGGCAAGTGAACGCAAGCGGTAGGGATTCGATGGATCAACACCTGAGCAAACCACCTTCAGAAAAACAAAGTAAAAATACATATAAATGCATAGAACAGCAACACAAAGCTGCCCATACACCACCACCTGCACCTGCACCTGGCAACCACCTTAGCAATGCCGAGGCTTAGGCCAGCAAAGGTCAGATTGAAGGACGGCACAGCGGTCACCGTGGTTCCCTCCGCTTTGCCAAAGCTTTGGCCTCGAAGTTTGTAATGCCTCAGAAAGCGCCAAGAGCACGGGAGCCAAGGGCAGCCAAGGTCACCGATTTATCCACGAGCCATTTCTATGCAGGGTCGAGACCTTCAAGAGTTTCATTCACAACACACAAACACACACAAAGTGCCAACCTGGTTGAAGCTTCGATTCCGAAGGCCTTGGCCGCTTCCGAACACCAAGGTGCAAGAAGGTCTGCATCAAACCAATTGCAGGCGTTGAGTGATCATCATTGATGACTCTGGCGCCAACCTGTGTGGTTTCTTAGCGAAGTTCGGGCCTCCTTACCAAGTAAATGCTTTCATGCCAAAAACTCGTATCGTGCACCTCTTCAGAAAGGCATTGTCCCATGCAGGGATCTGAGATCCTGAGGAGGGTGGTTTTTTGAAGCGAGCCTCCCGGAGGTCTTTGCGTGTGCTGTGAAATTAGAGGGGTGACCAAACAAAAGGAAAGATCGATACACATGAGATAGATAGAATTGAAACGTGAGCTAAGAAATTGCTGCTCTCTTCAAGTCGAGAAGCACATCCGCTGTGGCCACCAGTTGAAGAGCAATTAAGTGGTACCACATGATTGACAAAAACAAGACCTCGAGCAAGACTCAAAAACATGGAGCACAAGTAAAGGTTCCAGGATCAGTACAGTTGCGGATGGTCAAGCCAGCATCAAACGTATAACTTGCATGCATGGGGGGATCTTTACCCCAAACAAGTCTTGCTCTTGAGGCAGAAGGACCGAGGACCCACACGTCCACAACTTGAAGGAAAAATGTACGAAGATGGATAAGTCGTTATGGAAATGTCCGAGATGAGGCGGACCTTGGACCTTAGCTAGCGTGGGCCAAACATCCAGCAGGGCGGCCTGCGGGAAATTGAAAGAAGTGTTTGCAAGAATTCTTTCTTATGTTGGGTATTGAGCAGTCCTTTGGGTGGAGGGTCACAGTTGAGACTTTCGTGCAGTGTGTGCAACCTTCCCTGTGCTTTATCGAATTTGGATTAAGGCATGTCGCAACTCGCAACCATGTTCTTTGGATTTTCTTTGGTCTGTTCTGATTAGGTGGCCACTGCATGGCCAATTTAGAGCCTACAAGAAGCAATGGCCAATTAAGAAAACCTTGGTTGACAATCATTCTGCCGAGGGGCACGATCAACCAGGCCGAGGCTGTGAGGTAGGGATTCCTAGCCTAGGCCTTGAGCATACAGCATCCACCGGTCGCAAGGTGCCTTCTGATGCCAAACGCGCAAGGAGAAACCAGAAAGGGACAGAGACAAAGACCGAGACAAATCGTTTGCATTGTTGATGATGGCCTTTGCTGCTGGTGGTTGCTGTGCCTGCCATCACGGTCTTCCTATATATTACATATTTGCCCTTTTACCTAGTACCTGAAACTCCCCCTCTGGCTTTCCATGATTCGAGGATTCCGGGATGTTATTTATTCAGTGAACGTGCAGGGTTGATCAACTCATTGCAGCCTTGAAAGCCAGCTGGCAGTGTGGTCTTCGTTTGACCGCCAAATGTCGTGTCCAGTCCAGTGTCCCTCGGTGCGGCACTCCGGCGCGATGTGCCTGGCATACCAAAAATCTCCCAACTGTCGCCGGCTCAAGAGCAAGGCTGCAGCCAAAATCTGAGGCCAATTTTGCGACGCACCGTCCAAAAGCAACCCCGTGCTGCAAGCATTCCTTTGTGCTTGGAATGATCTGAAGACTGGTCGGAACTACTCAGGCTCTTGGAAGGGCGGGATGACTCCCTCCGGCAATGGGACGTTGAACGCATTCAGCGTCATTGAAATTTGGTGGTAGAAGCCCATGGTGAACACAAGGTCAATGAGTGCACGCCTCACCCCCCAAACAGTCCCAAGCATTCATTTACGACATCAACGGACGTTGAAGTGTGCAACCTGGATTCCTGGTTTGACTCTGCTCAACCGCACTCCCGTTGAAGTTGCACTCCAAGTCACTCCGCGCCCACCGCCTTGAGCGCATCAGCGTGCGTCTGGTCTGACACCCTCTTGGTGTAATGAAGTTCGCGTGCATACTTGTACACCTCGTCAACAGGGCCCATGAAGCTTTCGAAAAGCCCAAGCGAGTCCTAAAAACATCTAAATACTGCTTGACAAAGAAAGGGTGGAAACGTATCACAAAGACTTGGATCGGAAGACTTGAACGCATCATCAGACGCATGGACATTTCTTTTTGAATCTCAGGTCCCAGGTCCGTGTTGGAAAGATAGATGCATGGCCAGAAATCCAAAAGCACTGCTATCAAGTTCCATTGGTCTTTCATCAGCCCATTCATGTAAAGCAGAAAACAAGGTCTTAAGATCCTCCAATTGCTTCTGTCTACGCAACTTCTCCTGCTTGCGAGCGCTGGCGAGCTCAGCGTTGAAACGGACTATCCACGTTTTCTTGGAGGGCCATCGCAACTAGACTTCGCCAAAGGCTCCGCCGGGCTCAAACCACTGGGAACTGGGAACACACGATGGGCAACACAGCAGAAAATCAGATACCCCCTCTGCGCGCGCAAAAGTTTTACCCCAGTTCTGGGGTTTACCATTTCAAGCCCGACGGAATCCAACAGCCACAAGAGTCTTCCCGGGTCAAGTCTTCGCCTCTTCCGTCCACGGTCCTTGGCCCTGACTTTCTGCAGGGTTGGAGATCTTCCAGGATCCAAAAAAACTTCAAGCTACGCCAGTCTCATCAAAGTGCCTGGTGGGTTTTGACCGAAGAGCCTTTGCAACTGATTCGAGCGCAGTGCTGCATGGCGCGCTGACTGGATTGCCCGCCACTGGGCCTCATTGCGAGGTCGCGGCGCTACGTCACTTCAGAAGGTGCAAAGTTGATGTCGTTGGTCAAGAGTCGTACCAATGCCCTCATCAGCCTGCAGAAAAAGCATATGCCTGGCTTTTAAATGGCACAGTTGTCTTTTCGGCCTCCCATCCTTGGGGAAGAGGATGGAAGAGGTCTACAACCGTCGTCTTCCAACCCTCTTCTCGCAAGACATGGCAAGACCAGGGCGCCCGTACTAGCTTTTGCCCTGGGCAGCTGCGAGGGCAGCTGCCAGGGTTGTCCATCATTCGTTGGAAGTTCAACGAGGTTCCAGTGGCTCTACTACTTCAATGTCAAGTCAAGACCCATCTCATGGGCAAACATCAAACATCTCTCTTTGAAGACGTCTTAAAGTCTTACGGCGCATGTTCTCTGACGTTTCCAAGGCGTTGCGATCGAAGCGCCTCCATCATGAGGTTCTGACCCTCACGAGAAAGCTTCGTGACATTGATGTCCTGTCCAAGACATTGGAGATCCCGTTGGCATATAGTTTTAACGTTGACCCCCACATTGCCCGACAGTGCGCGCTATGAAACAAAAGTCTTCTGTACCAATGGCCTTCTCGGAGCGCATGAACTCCAAGAAATCAATCAGTGAAGCACGCTCTTGCTCATTCTCTCTTTTCCCTGGATCAAGACCTGCTCATCAACATGGAAAAAAAAGTGTTTGCGCCTGCGGGCCGGTCCAGGGACATTGTCAACGCTTTATAGTCCGCTTTGTCCGCAATCTTGCGCGCATTCTTTCCGGGGCCATTTTCCACAAAGACGGCCTCCTTATGGACCATGTTGATTTTGACTGCTGATGCGTCTCGCTCCTCCTCGTCGCTTCAAAGTATATTAATGTCTTTCAGCTTGCCTCCTGCCCACCGGGTGGACTCCCAGGCCCGCACGCCTTACTGACGGTCTCTTTGGCTAGCAATGCGCCACTTGCAGGCAAAGCCCTGGCATTGGTCTTGGTGCCCCATACTCCTCCGTAGCCAGGCCGCTCACCGCAACATGGGAGAGTGCTAGGTAATTGGTAGGACCTCCAAAGCCGGCTCCCGAGCTCTGTTTCCAAATGGGCCCGGCCCTTTCGAAAACAAAGTCTGGCCCCCAAGCCCATATCATCTCCACCGGCTCACCTCCTGCAGCTCATCCACTCTAATCAACACTGCTTAGCGATATTCTTTTTCAAGGCCTGCGAACTTCTCCCTGAAGATCTCCTCTCAGAACTGTAACTTGAAGTCCTCAGGGGTCACACTTCGCATCTTTGCACCGTGCCTCACACGCGGGTGGTTTGCTGAAGCTTCACCGGCACTGTCCTTTTCGTGGCACATGTGATAACACTTTTTTCTTCGGAACACCTTGCATCCAAAGCTTCTGCTTCTCCTCCAATGTATAGCTATCTCCTTCACCCCGCGTTTCCTTCAAAATGGCCTTCATCCTCTAGGACCTCAATGATGCCTGTGGTTCCGGTTTCTTTCATCTGGAAGACCAACTTGCAGACATGCGCCTGGACGGGGCCCATGCGACCTTTCAGCCAAGAGCTGCAGAAAACGTGGATGTTGCTAGATCTTTGTCTCACTACCACTACGTTATCATTTATCTCAAGTGCATAGTGCCTAGTTGCTTTCAGTAACTTTCAACTTTTTTACTGCGACCGCCATGACATCACGATCAACCAGAAGAATATCACTATCACTAACTACCCACCCCACCGAGAGAACAACAACAACAACAACAACAACAAGAACAAGAACAAGAACAACAACAACAACAACAACAACAACAACACCTAAGCAAGACTCCACATCTTCACCAAGATGCAAAATGAAACAAAACAGAACTCCTCCTCCTCCTCCTATCCTTTGCAGTTCCCTCTGCGACAGGGTCCAAGGACTCGGGGGAGATTTGAAGGAACAAACTCAACAGCAGACCTAAAAGGATTTTTAGAGACGCTTGATGCATGTTGATGTCCATGCCACCAAAATACATCCATAATCCACAGCAAAGTGAATGGCAGCTAAAGCACGGCTCTTTGCTTCTCCGTCATGCCTTTGGCCAGCTCTGGGGAAACTTGATCTTTGACAGATTGGACAGCCTGAGGTGCAGGCAAAATGGCGCTTTAGCTCAGCGGAAGTCCCATGATTGAAAGCACTGAGCGCATCTAAACATACATATCGGGAGACAATCCTCGCCTCCTTACAGTACTACGGTCCAATTACATCAGTTGGGGAGGCCATTAAGTAAGAGTAGGGGAAGGGATTTGAAAACTGATTCTCACAATCTTGACATCTGCCTGAGCTAAACAAAATTCCTGCCTCAGGGCTGACGCCAGCTTTCAGGGCCAACTTC